AGGAGACCTCGTGCGAGAGGGTGGTGTGGAATGAACCCACGGTCCATACATTAAAATAAGTTAACGAAATAAGCGAAGGAGACCTCGTGCGAGAGGGTGGTGTGTAATGAACCCACGGCCCAAACATTAAAATAAGTTAACGAAATAAGTGGAGGAGACCTCGTGCGAGGAAATAAGTGGAGGAACCCCACGGCCCAAACATTAAAATAAGTTAACGAAATAAGTGGAGGAGACCTCGTGCGAGAGGGGTGGTGGGGAATGAACCCACGGCCCATACATTAAAATAAGTTAACGAAATAAGTGGAGGAGACCTCGTGCGAGAGGGGTGGTGGGGAATGAACCCACGGCCCAAACATTAAAATAAGTTAACGAAATAAGTGGAGGAGACCTCGTGTGAGAGGGTGGTGTGGAATGAACCCACGGCCCAAACATTAGCATCCCTCCTAATTATTCTTTGTGCTGACAAAAAAGAACAATTTGAAACTTTGGGAAAAAGTTTTCTCAGTGCAGCCAAAGTAGAATGTCCATGTTCGGTAATTCAGAGGATGCCTGGAGGAATACATGTGTGTATATGTATTTAGATGTCCCTGTTAAACACTAAGGTCTGACTAAAGTGAAGACAATTCGATATTATTTATATTTTAATATACATATAACTAAAACTGATATATATAGAAATACCTATGTCACACATGTTATTTCACCTGTCGAATCGATATAAAAGTATCATTGCGCATGCGTTTTCCATCTACATTGATTGCTGGAACATCTGTTACAAGTATTGATATACAAACGAACACATTTTCGATTTTGCCTGTAACAGGAAATACAGTCACTACACAGATTCCTCGCCATAAAGTGAATATATTTCTGATTTGTGTTAACGTCACGTGCAAGTTGACTCCTGAATAGAAGGAATATTCTTCATCGTAAAAGAGTTCACGTGACCGTAAACCTACTCTGGAGTCGGGAGCTATTTATTTTTATTGACTTTATAACTAATCCGAAGTTTTAACGTTTTCTGTTTTAGTCTGGACTGGATTCCGTAACAAGAAAAAACAGATGGGGATTGTACTAGGTTTCTTTAATCCGGAACTTTCTGAATTCCAGAAGAAGAAACTGATACACGAGTTCCATTTATTTTTCGGTAAGTGACATGGTCATTACATAGGAACTGCTGAGTTAAGGTTACACATGATCAAAACAACTGAGCCCGTATTCATGAAACCGTTCTCATGCTCAAGCATGAATTTTGTGCTCAAGCCTTATGTCTTGTTTAAGTTCAAAATTAATAAATGAGGCTGATTCTACCAAAGATTTAAAAACAATTTTGAAAGGTTTTCAAGTCAAAGCTATATTCAAGGTTTAAATTTGACATTTGTATTATTTTATATAATTTAGTTGAATTGTAAATAAAAAAAGCTACATTGAGCATAAAATCTATGCTTGAGCATGAGAAAGATTTCATGAATACGGGCCCTGATGTTTACTTAACAATAACTGATTTGAGGTCATCAATGTTATTCTGATGACGTCATACTGGCGGGAAGGCGTCTTTAATGAACCCAAGTTTATCGTAAATCGCCTATTATCCGGAATGTCTCTCCACTTCCGGTCGACATATTACCGTTACTTCAGCAAATATTCCCAGACGGGTACGTACAGTCAGCATTGTACAGACTATAGGATCGCCGCCTAGCGAATGTAGAGCATTGAAATATTGAGGTTGGGATGACACAAGTTGTTTTTTTTTTTAAATAACGCTTAGACAAAGGCCATCAAACATTTCATATATTTGCACCTTACCTGAACATTTAAGTTCAACTCCCGTGTCCAGCAGTCGTGTGGCAGTCGTGACCTGTTAAACTTTTTCTGCTCGTGGTAGATTTTTTAAGTAAATTAGGTGGTATAAGGTTTACAAATAAATCATTGGGACGACCAGCATATGTCACTATGTCGATCGATTGAATCAGAATCAACTGATCTCTACCTACTTATATCGTGTTTTACCAGAATATTAACATCTTATACCAGCTGTCGGCTGCTCTAGTTTTATCATCATGTCGTCTATTGTCATCATGTCGTCTGTTCTCGTCTTATCATCATGTCGTCTGTAATCATCATGTCGTCAGTTCTCGTGTTATCATCATGTCATCTGTTATCATCATGTCGTCTGTTGTCATGTTATCATCATGTCGTCTGTTATCATCATGTCGTCTGTTATCATCATGTCGTCTGTTGTCATGTTATCATCATGTCGTCTGTTGTCATGTTATCATCATGTCGTCTGTTATCATCATGTCGTCTGTTGTCATGTTATCATCATGTCGTCTGATGTCATGTTAACATCATGTCGTCTGTTGTCATGTTATCATCATGTCGTCTGTTGTCATGTTATCATCATGTCGTCTGTTGTCATGTTATCATCATGTCTGTTGTCATGTTATCATCATGTCATCTGTTGTCATGTTATCATCATATCGTCTGTTGTCATGTTATCATCATGTCGTCTGTTGTCATGTTATCATCATGTCGTCTGTTGTCATGTTATCATCATGTCATCTGTTGTCATGTTATCATCATGTCGTCTGTTGTCATGTTATCATCATGTCGTCTTTTGTCATGTTATCATCATGTCGTCTGTTGTCATGTTATCATCATGTCGTCTGTTATCATCATGTCGTCTGTTGTCATGTTATCATCATGTCTGTTGTCATGTTATCACCATGTCATCTGTTGCCATGTTATCATCATGTCGTCTGTTGTCATGTTATCATCATGTCGTCTGTTGTCATGTTATCATCATGTCGTCTGTTGTCATGTTATCATCATGTCGTCTGTTGTCATGTTATCATCATGTCGTCTGTTGTCATGTTGTCATCATGTCGTCTGTCGTCTCATGTCATGTTATCATCATGTCGTCTGTTGTTGTCATCATGTCGTCATGTTGTCATCATGTCGTCTGTTGTCATCATGTCGTCTATTGTCATGTTATCATCATGTCGTCTGTTGTCATGTTATCATCTTGTCGTCTGTTGTCATGTTTTCATCATGTCGTCTAATGTCATGTTGTCATCATGTCGTCTATTGTCATGTTATCATGTCATCTGTTGTCATGTTGTCACCATGTCGTCTGTTGTCATGTTATCATCATGTCGTCTGTTGTCATGTTATCATCATGTCGTCTTTTGTCATCATGTCGTCTATTTTCATGTTATCATATCGTCTGTTGTCATGTTATCATCATGTCGTCTGTTGTCATGTTATCATCATGTCGTCTGTTGTCATGTTGTCATCATGTCGTCTAATGTCATGTTGTCATCATGTCGTCTATTGTCATGTTATCATGTCATCTGTTGTCATGTTGTCACCATGTCGTCTGTTGTCATGTTATCATCATGTCGTCTGTTGTCATGTTATCATCATGTCGTCTTGTCATGTTATCATCATGTCGTCTGTTATATTTTCATGTGTTATCATCATCATGTCGTCTTGTCATGTTATCATGTCGTCTGTTGTCATGTTGTCATCATGTCGTCTATTGTCATGTTGCCATCATGTCATCTGTTGTCATGTTATCATCATGTCGTCTGTTGTCATGTTATCATCATGTCGTCTGTTATCATGTTATCATCATGTCGTCTGATGTCATGTTATCATCATGTCGTCTGATGTCATGTTATCATCATGTCGTCTATTGTCATGTTATCATCATGTCGTCTGTTGTCATGATATCATCATGTCGTCTGTTGTCATGTTGTCATCATGTCGTCTATTGTCATGTTGCCATCATGTCATCTGTTGTCATGTTGTCATCATGTCGTCTGTTGTCATGTTATCATCCTGTCGTCTGTTGTCATGTTATCATCATGTCGTCTGTTGTCATGTTATCATCATGTCGTCTGTTGTCATGTTATCATCATGTCGTCTGTTGTCATGTTATCATCATGTCGTCTGTTGTCATGTTATCATCATGTCGTCTGTTGTCATGATATCATCCTGTCGTCTGTACATATGTTATCATCATGTCGTCTATTGTCATGTTGTCATCATGTCGTCTGTTCTCATGTTGTCATCATGTCATCTGTTCTAATGTTATCATCATGTCGTCTGTTCCCATGTTGTCATCATGTCATGTCATCATATCATGTCTGTTCTCTTGTATTTGTTATCTGTATTCTGTCGTTTGGTGTGGTTTTTTCAGTCTGTTCCGTTTTGATGTATGACATGCGACTTGCCTTCTGTATGTTGTTCAATGAGGTACCCACCAGTTATAGATGACACCTCCTCTAAATGATCCTGGCCCTTCAGTAGTTGTAAATCCAGCAAACAACGAAAAATATTAACACCCTGAACATTTCGTCCTCCAACTCTTCCAACACTTTGAAAAGAGAGTTGATTTTTCTAGGTCGGCTGACTACATTAAAAATTTATTCCTGATGAGGTGTGTAGGTTGTTCAAGATCCTCCATCTTGAATACCCATTAATATATTGTTTTAGAATTGATAGTTTTTACTGGTCGTTTATTTTCCCTGTCGACATTCGTTGACACGCCTGACGGCAAAACTCATTGGTTGATAAATAATGTAAATATGTAAAAATCAATATTTGGTAGCCTTGGAAATGCACTGCAATGTGCTAGATCGTTTTTCTTAAAACTTTCAGAACGCTCCAGCCACACTGAAACGATTATTTGACTGATCAAATTATTTTGAGTGTGTTATCACAAATTATTTCAAAATTATACCGAAAGGGTGATAATAAAGATGTTTCTGTAAAACAGTTCTGTAAGTAATCATGCCTGTTGTTAGCAATGTTGGCGATGCTGTGGTAAATTTATAAATATTTGTCTTTTTCCTTTGTTTTTCTCTCAGTAAAACTTTCGTAATGTTTTACTCAGTATGTATTTGTTCTTAACTATTCTTTGTTAGAGTCAGAAGAACAGGCCTGGGCAAACCGCTTTAGATAACACCACTACGTCAGTCAAGTCATTGTTTTAATCTTTGTTTGTAGATCTAAACAAAGACGGGAACTTGGAATGGAAAGACATGGAAATAGCTAGACAGGTAAGAATCCTCTCTATGGTATGCTGTTCAAAGTAGGTTTTGTCTTCGTCGTTCAGGTCCTGGCGATCACAGAAATTTGTTAAATATTTTTACTTTGATGTTTTCCTAATTTTCAAACGCCTCAACGAGTATTTTGTATCTTAGATATAATTTGCAGTCAGTTTTCCTTCCGGATACACTTGACTACCTTTCCGGAAGTTTTTGTCATTGTTAACTTTTTCATAAGACATTCTTTAAAATTCCTATTTGTATATATTTGTTACTTTGTTGATAAAGTTTCCTTTTGTATATATTTGTTACTTTGTTTATAAATTTCCCCTTTGTATATATTTGTTACTTTGTTGATAAATTTTCCCTTTGTCCATGTTTGTTACTTTGTGGATAAATTTCCCCTTTGTCTATATTTGTTACTTTGTTGACAAACTTCCCCTTTGTATATATTTGTTACTTTGTTGACAAATTTTCCCTTTGTATATATTTGTTATTTGTTGATAAATTTTCCCTTTGTCTATAATTGTTACTTTGTTGACAAATTTTCCCTTTGTCTATATCTGTTACTTTGTTGATAAATTTTCTCTTTGTCTATATTTGTTACTTGGTTGAAAAATTCCCCCTTTTAATATATTTGCTACTTTGTTGATAGATTTCCACTTTGAATATATTTGTTACTTTGATGACAAATTTCCCCTTTTGTATATATTTGTTACTTTGTTGATAAATTTTCCTTTTGTATATATTTGTTACTTTGTTGATAAATTTTCCTTTTGTATATATTTGTTACTTTGTTGATAAAGTTTCCTTTTGTATATATTTGTTACTTTATTGACAAATTTCCCATTTGTATATATTTGTTACTTTGTTGATAAATTTTCCTTTTATATATATTTGTTACTTTGTTGACAAATTTCCCCTTTGTATATATTTGTTACTTTGTTGACAAATTTTCCCTTTGTCTAAATTTGTAACTTTGTTGATCAATTTTCCCTTTGTCTAAATTTGTAACTTTGTTGATCAATTTTCCCTTTGTATATATTTGTTACTTTGTTGATAAATTTTCCCTTTTTCTAAATTTGTTTCTTTGTTGATAAATGATCTTTATCTTTAATGATTGTGTAGCAGTGTTGAAATTTGTAGGATAATACCATCACGACACTGTTGAGAGCTCTTCGAATTTGATTTTCCCTCCAAATATACAGCACAGTATTCAGATACAAAATGTATAACTGGTCATATTTCACGTACATCAAACTATTGCAACAGTAATAATTTATCATTTAGATTCACATTAAACCTATTCTATACATATATACTATATCCAACATATACATGTAGATCTTATCGTCTCAATATATATAGATACAAAGAGAATACAATAAATATACATTTTTAATAAATCGTGGTTTCAAAAAAAAAATATGAAAATACAAAAAGAATATTACCTAATTATGGAAGAGTAAGGAGCGCACTCTTATAAACATCGATGTAATTGTTATGTCAAACAAATAAACAGCAGTTCATGAATAATATTAACACAAAGTACTGTAACCATTTCATATATCAAACCACGAATCAAGAAATATGATCTGAAAATATCAAAGGAAACATATTAAAAAAATAGAATTTAGACAATACGTTTAGTGCAAGTAAGTCTCACCTGTCATAATGTATATCGATCGTCGGGAGTCCAATAGTGGAATATATAATACCGCGCCAAAATGACCGAAACACATTGAGAACAGAGAAAACACTGACCCTTAGTTATTACAACAAGGGCCAATAGATTCAATAAAAACACTGACCAATAACAGAAATAGAAAAAGCCCAACCAAATCACGAGGCCAAAAAGAGAAATTCACAAAATTAACGCTGTGCTATATACATGTACCGAAACAAGACAACAGCTAAATGTCTGCCATAGTTACAATGTTGATAGTTCTGTTTTTTCAGTACACCGTCCTTCTATAGACAATCATTGATAACGCTATTTCTTGAGAGATGTTGGGAGGATACTTCTTACATCATTCGTCAATTTTCTTGATTCTTTTTTTTTTACAGCAAATGTATTTTGAAACTAACAAAGAAAACCAAGCGGTCGACAGGCGGACATCTTGGATTTTGACAGTTGAAATTTGCCATAGCTATTTCTTAAGCAAAGTGGAAGGATATTCCTCTAACGCTGTGTAAATTTCCTTTTATCTCTAGTTGTGCCCATTGGTTTTTTGAACTGATCAAGAAAACAAAATGGCCGACATGTTGTTTTTTTTTTATTTCGACACTTGAAGTTTGGTATCACTATCTTTTTAAAAGTACTGGATTGATCTTTTACATATTCTTGATAAAGATTACCATAGGTCCTTCGTTGTACCCTTATTTATGCTTTCTGAAATTATATGGAAACAAAACGGCTGATAGGCGGCCATCTTGGATTTTAAATTTAAGTTTGTTACTTTATATTACAGCTTTTGGAGAATTGCTAAAATGTAGATAAACCTTTCTCAAATTTCGCACGTAAGCTATCTTTACTCCTTAGGTGTGTGCGGTTAATGTTGGTACTGATTCGCGAAGCAGGAGGGCTGACAGGTGGTCATTTTGGATTAAATTCTTTACTGCTTAACATATTACTTATTAAAGTTCATTAATTAGTCCACATGCAGTTGAATAATACTTCGCGAAATGGGTTTTGGTCCCGTGTTCTCCAATACGTGTCGGACATAGTTCTTTATGACATGTCTTCTTAAAATATTATAAATCTGTATTTCAAAAAATACAAGATGCTTGAAATATTTCAAGTATATATGATTCTTAAAATATTTCAAAAGTAAGAGATATCGAAAAGAATTCAAACATATATGATTCTTAAAATAATTTCTTAAAAATCAAACTTAAAACCAAGTGACCTACAGGGATACCGCGGCGTCCGCCATTCAAAATTTCATATACTTAAAAGCAAAAACTAAAAAGAAGTGAAAAAAATCACTTTTTTTTTACAAAAGTAAATAAAAAGAAAACAATGCTTGGCGGCAAGAGCTCTCTGGGGTATATATATTTGCTATCACAGGTTTCTACAGGAGAATATCATCGTTAAATAACTTAGACAGTAATTGTACCATCCAAAAGTTACATCTAGAGTTGAAAAATCTCTGCTATCTTATCTTACGTCATTGTTGTATAATATCACGTATGATATTGTGATTAAGTAAGAACTATTTGCTCTATGTTTTCTAGACATATACTCACTAGCACAGTTATTTTCTTGACATATTTATTTTTTTTAGTACATCAGTAGCCGTTGTCACTGATGCGCAGACAATATAACAGTCGAATGCGCAATCAAGCGTGAGATTAAGATTCAGTACATAACCCTAAACCTCTCAATTTGCCCCACCCCTAAGCCCCTTTTCTGGCACATTGGATTTCTCTTGTAGATTTTTTCTCAAGATTTCAAACATTTTTTTTCCTTTGCGAAGTCTAAAGAAGAAGTAGACACGGGTTATTTTGATTGTTGAACATAAGGATTTATTTTTATTTATATATCTTCGGTTAATAACATATTTCTGTTTCCGTATTATCATTCCAAAGAAAATATGTGATTGGAGTGGATGGAAGCCCGGTTCAGACAAACACACGAAAACTCACGAGCTTTTCCGGACAATATGGCGGCGTCTTCAGGACGAGGGGGACGAAAACAATGACGGCAAAATAACGATTGAGGAATGGGTGAGAATGTCATTGATTCCTCCCCAGGTTATCAAGGGAGGTAACTCTATCAATAAAAACAGTGAGAAGTGATGATAATGTCATTGATTCCTCCCCAGGTTATCAAGGGAGGTAACTCTATTAATAACAACAGAGGGAAGTGGTGATAATGTCATTGAGTCCTCCCCAGGTTTTCAAGGGAGGTAACTCTATCAATAGCAACAGAAGGAAGTGGAGATAATGTTACTGATTCCTTCCCAGGTTATCAAGGGAGGTAACTCTCAATAACAACAAAAGGAGATATAAAATTGAGGTGATACTATATCATGTAATCAAGGCAGATAACTTTATCAATAATGCTAGGAAAGTGGTTTTAATGACAATGGTTCGATATCAAGTTACCAAGGGAGATAACTTTATAAATAAATACAGAGGGATGTGGTAATAATGAAAATGGTTCTACATTCGCTTGCCAAGAGAGGTAACTCTATAAATAATTTCAGGGGAAGGGATGATAATGACAATTGTTCTATCTCCTACCTATCCTTGTCTGACTGACCAATGTCTGTCTCCTACCCACTTTGTATGACTGACCAATGTCTGTCTCCTACCCATCCTTGTCTGACTGACCTATGTCCGTCTCCTACCCACCCTTGTCTCACTGACCTATGTCTGTCTCCTACCCACCCTTGTCTGACTGACCTATGTCTGTCTCCTACCCACCCTTGTCTGACTGACCTATGTCCGTCTCCTACCCACCCTTGTCTCACTGACCTATGTCCGTCTCCTACCCACCCTTGTCTGACTGACCTATGTCTGTCTCCTATCCACCCTTGTCTGACTGACCTATGTCTGTCTCCTACCCACCCTTGTCTGACTGACCTGTCTGATATGTCTGTCTCCTATCCACCCTTGTCTGACTGACCTATGTCTGTCTCCTACCCACCCTTGTCTGACTGACCTATGTCCGTCTCCTACCCACCCTTGTCTGACTGACCTATGTCTGTCTCCTACCCACCCTTGTCTGACTGACCTATGTCCGTCTCCTACCCACCCTTGTCTCACTGACCTATGTCTGTCTCCTACCCACCCTTGTCTGGCTGACCCATCTCATCATATATATATGTTTTCCACTTATTCATCCCTAGGTCCGTATGTGGACAACATTTAATGAGAACTGTATTAGAGAGGCCAAGAAAGCTGACCCACTCCCCGCTGACCGAAAACTTCCAGACTGGTTGGAATCCTATGTGGAATACAAATTTAATCTGTACGACAGGACAGGTAAGTAATGGCCACTGGTCAGTTTGATACAGAGAACTGGTCAGTTTGTTTCCGGACACTGGTCAGTTTGTTTCTGTACACTGGTCAGTTTGTTTCCGGTCACTGGTCAGTTTGTTTCCGGACACTGGTCAGTTTGTTTCCGATCACTGGTCAGTTTTCTTCCGGTCACTGGTCAGTTTGTTTCTGTACACTGGTCAGTTTGTTTCCGGTCACTGGTCAGTTTGTTTCCGGACACTGGTCAGTTTGTTACTGGACACTAGTCAGTTTGTTTCCGGACACTGGTCAGTTTGTTTCCGGTCACTGGTCAGTTTGTTTCTGTACACTGGTCAGTTTGTTTCCGGTAACTGGTCAGTTTGTTTCCGGTCACTGGTCAGTTTGTTTCTGTACACTGGTCAGTTTGTTTCTGTACACTGGCCAGTTTTCTTCCGGTCACTGGTCAGTTTGTTTCTGTACAGTGGTCAGTTTGTTTCCGGTCACTGGTCAGTTTGTTTCTTTACGTTATTCGGTTTTTATAGGACATCGGTCAGTTTGTTTCCGGACAAAGTTCAGTTTGAAAATGATCCTTGCTATTTTTTTTGTTTGTTTTGGGTTTTTGTTGGATACATGTAGGTTTTATTTCGGACAATGATTAAGTTTTTTTAACAATGTAGAGTTTGATACGGACAATTTATTTCCGGCACACAAGTGATTTTTATTAGGACACTTGTCAGTTTGTTTCGGTGAGTGATCTATTTATTACTAGACACAAGTCTGTTGCTTTCGAATCCTTGTCAGTATGTTCCCAGATATTGGTTTGTTTCTTTCTGGACACTGGTCAATTCGTTTCCGGACATTGGTGTGTTTATTCCGGACACTGGTCAGTTTGTTTCCGGACACTGGTCACTTTGTTTCCGGCCAGTTTGTTTCCAGTCACTGGTAAATTTGTTTCCGGTCAATGGTAAGTTTGTTTCGTTCACTGGTCAGTTTGTTTCCTATCACTGGTCAGTTTTTTTCCGGTCACTGGTCACTTTGTTTCCGGACACTGGTCAGTTTGTTTCCGGTCACTGGTCAGTTTGTTTCCGGTCACTGGTCACTTTGTTTCCGGCCAGTGGTCAAAGTCTTCTGCGGTAAGGTAAAAGATATTTAGATACCAGTTGTATTACAAAATAAACAATCGATGTAAATCATGCGGTAACTAAGTTGCTTATGTAAGGAATTTGACGTAAAGATGTTTTCTATCTTTAACAGGTGATGGAAAGATAGACGCGGAGGAGTTTGAATATGTGTTAGCTGACTTCGGTGTTCCTGCAAAAGATGCCAGACAAGCGTTTCTCCTCTTTTCAGGTGTAAGTCATCCTGTATTCACGAACTGATAGTATTTAGTCTTAACTTTACCATATCAATTAACTTTATATCTTCATCGCAACCTTTGCATAACACGCCGTCTTCGTTGTCCCCGTTCATTCATTACTTCTTAGTTTTTAATGTTAAAAGGAAAGGCATTGGCAGTGAATAGTCAGGACATGATTCGGTTGTATGTAATTTATCAAATCATCGATTATTTTCTTAATCGTTGATCAGTATAGAATAAGTACGATCATTTCGTTTATTTTGTCGATCCGTAATTTTGATCTACCAATCGTGACCATAGATTTATTCATCATGTAAAGAAATAAGTGATCAAACTATACTTTATTTATTAAAATAAATTTCAAGATAACAATGTTTAAGATATGAACGAAGGAAATTCATTGTTCGTGTGATAAGGAATTAATTTCAAGAAATTCGATGTTAACCTGATGGTGAATTCATGCCAAGAAATTCAATGTTAACATGATGGTGAATTCATGCCAAGAAATTCAATGACATAAGAGGAGCTATTCATACAATGGTTTGTATGTTTTCCCCAATTTCCATACAAATTTGTAGTATTTGTAGAGTTATCGTTCTTCTCACTCCTACAGTTACGTGAATGATCGAGGACCGAGGATCGGATGTATGTGTGTGTGTGTGTGTGTGTGTGTGTGTGTGTGTGTGTGTGTGTGTGTGGTGTATGTTCAAAGATTGTCCGATATAATGAATCGCTATCCTGACTTCATTTATTTCTAATATCGACCGACGCATCCTTGCATGTTTACAGAACAATACTCGGAAGGTCGACCTACCCTACTTCCGGGAGCTCTGCACAGACTACTACCGTTCGGACGATCCCGGAGCGCTCGGAAACTTTATAACCGGAAAACTTGATTTCACAAGATGACAGTTGTCGGCGGTGGTTTTCACTACAACAATTATTTGTCCAGAATTATTATTATTTTGGTACTATCTTCCTTCCCGTCTTTGAGGATGTATTTATTTTCAAAATATAATAGGAGAGTTGGGTGGTGCGAATATTTTGATCGGCATTTCCAGCATTTTTCATGCATTCTCAGAACTTCGTTTCATCTCACTTTAAACGTAGTCTTGATGATGTTTACTTAACAACGATCACGTGACGTCATCGGATCAAATGACATAATACCACCTGTTGATGATACCGCTATGGAATGAGATGACACAAGGCTACTGTTTCAGTAAACCTATGTGTCACTCTAATGAAGGTTAGTTGGCTTTCAAGTCATTTTCTAAATACTTATGCCTTGTGAACGCAAAGGGTGTTCTACCTGTAGTCCACATGTACTTAAGTATGCTATGGATGGGCGATTTTACGTACAGCATTTAAAAAAAAAATTGTTTTTTGTGGCTCAATTTTTGTGGGTTTTTTTTTTTTTTTTATCAGAACTGAAATATAATTTCGGGGACACTTGATTCCGTTGTAAATATAGCGCAATAAACTGCACATACAAATACTACACAGTTTCACGGATTCGTGGACTGATGAGTACTCACGACGAAAATATATCCCCCACGAAAATTGATGACTCCACAGTATAGTCGTTATAAATTTTGATGTCTATTATTGATTTTGAACAATAAATGTGGACTTTTTTATACCGTTTTCCATAAGACTTTGTTCATATCTGTATTACAGTATACAACTAAATACAAACACATTATAAGATATGTTTGAGAAACACAAAATAAGATATGTCTGAGAAACACAACATAAGATATGTTTGAGAAACACTATACAACATATGTTTGAGAAACACTATATAAGATATGTTTGAGAAACACTATATAAGATATGTTTGAGAAACACTAAGCCATCAACGGCTAGCCTTTCGTGTGACTAACATGACAACTCCGAGACCAATTTGAGTTCAAATTTGACAACTTAAAATTTTATGACGAAAACGAAGAAATGACAACCTTTTTAGTGTTTTATAAAGTCCCGTAACTCATCCGATGTCTTATTGGTATATACTGTACAAAACAATATACAATGTACCAAAGGTTAAAACATGAGAGCAAAAGTTTTATAGAAACGCTAAAAACAGAAAAACAGATCATTCTCTGTGATTAAAATACACCAGACCAGAGCCTATAGCGGGCTACCATCGATCTTCGATCTCCGGGGTATAAAAATAATTAATATTTTGTTCCTAAAATACCTACAAAGATATAAGATCAACCCAGTTTAACTGACAGATTTTTTTAATGTGTGAAAATATAAATTACATGTTATTACACACAGTCTGATAAATATAAATTACATGTTATTACACACAGTCTGATAAATATAAATTACATGTTATTACACACAGTCTGATCAATATAAATTACATGTTATTACACTCAGTCTGATAAATATAAATTACATGTTATTACACAGAGTCTGATAAATATAAATTACATGTTATTACACAGAGTCTGATAAATATAAATTACATGTTATTACACACTGTCTGATAAATATAAATTACATGTTTTACACACAGTCTGATAAATATAAATTACATGTTATTACACAGAGTCTGATAAATATAAATTACATGTTATTACACACAGTCTGATAAATATAAATTACGTGTTATAACACACAGTCTGATAAATATAAATTACATGTTATTACACACAGTCTGATCAATATAAATTACATGTTATTACCCACAGTCTGATAAATATAAATTACATGTTATTACACACAGTCTGATAAATATAACATCTTATTACACACAGTCTGATAAATATAAATTACGTGTTATTACACACTGTCTGATAAATATAAATTACATGTTATTACACAGTCTGATAAATATAAATTACATGTTATTACACACAGTCTGATACATATAAATTACATGTTATTACACTCAGTCTGATAAATATAAATTACATGTTATTACACAGTCTGATAAATATAAATTACATGTTATTACACACAGTCTGATACATATAAATTACATGTTATTACACACAGTCTGATAAATATAAATTACATGTTATTACACACAGTCTGATAAATATAAATTACATGTTATTACACACAGTCTGATAAATATAAATTACATGTTATTACACAGTCTGATAAATATAAATTACATGTTATTACACACAGTCTGATACATATAAATTACATGTTATTACACTCAGTCTGATAAATATAAATTACATGTTATTACACACAGTCTGATAAATATAAATTACATGTTATTACACTCAGTCTGATAAATATAAATTACATGTTATTACACAGTCTGATAAATATAAATTACATGTTATTACACACAGTCTGATACATATAAATTACATGTTATTACACACAGTCTGATAAATATAAATTACATGTTATTACACACAGTCTGATAAATATAAATTACATGTTATTACACACAGTCTGATAAATATAAATTACATGTTATTACACACAGTCTGATAAATATAAATTACATGTTATTACACACAGTCTGATACATATAAATTACATGTTATTACACAGAGTCTGATAAATATAAATTACATGTTATTACACAGAGTCTGATAAATATAAATTACATGTTATTACACACAGTCTGATAAATATAAATTACATGTTTTACACAGTCTGATAAATATAAATTACATGTTATTACACTCAGTCTGATAAATATAAATTACATGTTATTACACACAGTCTGATAAATATAAATTACATGTTATTACACAGTCTGATAAATATAAATTACATGTTATTACACTCAGTCTGATCAATATAAATTACGTGTTATTACACTCAGTCTGATAAATATAAATTACATGTTATTACACTCAGTCTGATAAATATAAATTACATGTTATTACACAGTCTGATAAATATAAATTACATGTTATTACACACAGTCTGATAAATATAAATTACATGTTTTACACAGTCTGATAAATATAAATTACATGTTATTACACTCAGTCTGATAAATATAAATTACATGTTATTACACTCAGTCTGATAAATATAAATTACATGTTATTACACAGTCTGATAAATATAAATTACATGTTATTACACACAGTCTGATAAATATAAATTACATGTTATTACACACAGTCTGATAAATATAAATTACATGTTATTACACACAGTCTGATAAATATAAATTACATGTTTTACACACAGTCTGATAAATATAAATTACATGTTATTACACACAGTCTGATAAATATAAATTACATGTTATTACACACAGTCTGATAAATATAAATTACATGTTATTACACACAGTCTGATAAATATAAATTACATGTTTTACACACAGTCTGATAAATATAAATTACATGTTATTACACACAGTCTGATAAATATAAATTACATGTTATTACACACTGTCTGATAAATATAAATTACATGTTTTACACACAGTCTGATAAATATAAATTACATGTTATTACACACAGTCTGATAAATATAAATTACGTGTTATTACACTGTCTGATAAAAATATATATTCTAAGTCTCCGCCATTACTGTCCGTGTACGCTTTTGTAAGCTTTCTGATGTCATAGACCGTGGTAACTGTTCCCGAACTTTTTTTAGATCGGTTTTTTATTTCTTTTTCCTTATAAAATTTATTAACGAGAAAATTTAAGGTTTTCCGCGCAATATCGTACATTCTTCACTCAGAATATATAAGTAATTTTCACTCATCATACGGCTTGGCACACGTGAATGATAAAGATGTTGTGTCACACCCCGGGAATATATATGATACTCAACGGGAAACCAGTCATTACCCGTCATTTCAGACAAGTTTCCAAAATAGCATGGCGTTCAATGAAGTCAGATAGTTTGACGTTACGCTTGACAACACGGCGACGCCATTTTGAAAAGGCCACTTTAAGTTGTTTTAAACCATTTTTATAACATTTTTGCCACTAAAATAAAGAAAATATCAAATTTATCAAAATATAGTATCATCATTTCACGAATAATTTAGGACATCATCACTAGAAGGTTGAATAACTTGATATTAATCAAATAACTCCTGAGTTTTATCTCTGGTTTGCTCAAGTTCATTATATAAAAACATTTTTTTAATAACTTTCACTTATATTTGATTTTTTTTTTTTCATTTTTTAATGAAAGAAATACAACGAAAAGAAATTTAATGTTTCCCGTTAGATACGTTTTCTTGGTATGACAGTTTTTATCTATATTTTTTGTTTATCTATTTTAAACGGGGAACCATTAATTTCATCCATCTACATGTAGCAAACACGTGTATGATATTAAACGGGGAACCATAAAATACATCTATCAGGCAAATATGTATAGAATTAACGAGAAACTATTAGATACAGAATGTTTCTTCTATCTTTCAAACAAATATATGATATTTAATGGAAAACCTTTCAATATACCTTATCTTTTAAATGAATGTATGATATTAAGCGCGAAGTCATTAAATATCCCCTATCTGTCAAATAAATGTATGATATTAAGCGGGAAATCATTAGATATCTCCTATCTATCAAACAAACGTATATCATTTTATGCAAACCTTGCACCCATCTTATTTAGACAAAACATGATACCTCTGTTTCATGCGATATCATTGTGTTAGAAATTGATGGCTAAGTCCATTTTGTTATCAAACAATCTGGTATTTATTGATGAACTTTACGGAAAATTCGACAGACTTATCAGTGTAAAGAGTACTGAAATTTGGGGTGAATTTATATATATATATACACTATAAGGTGACTTGTCATATATACGCCAGTGTTTCACATCCATTAAACGCCCCAGCATTACGTACTAAGATCGCTGAGACCGTTAACATCCTAGACATCATAATTATGTCAATTTCTGACAGACTGACAGCGCGGACAATCAACAGGCGG